CCCCCCCCCCAAAACATTTCCACAGAGGGGAGACAATCCCCATTGCCACATACCTGCTCCCCAGAGAGGCAAACTGTGAAGTTCACCGCGCTTATTAATCAGCGCTCGTTTGTTTGCCGGCCTGAGCTGACAGCTCTCATAAAGAACTTCTTCTTCCTGCGTTTGATCACGTCCAAGCCGTCCCATTAGTCTGTGTTTTCATGGCGACGCCTCTAACGAACAGCCCAGATTCTCCGCGTGTCTGGGTTTTTTGACGCGAGCTATGCGGTGCCATATGAGCTGGCTAACTCAGCACAGTGAGCGGGGAGACTGTTGATGTCTGGTCCTGTCCTGTCAGGAACAGCAAGCCAGTTCCCTGCACAGAGAGTTGTGACCTGTTGTCCTTGCCCAGTGGGACAGAGACAGCTCCCATGGAGAACAGGATGGAAATTGACCAGTAAAGGTAAAGGACACAGGTACTGGTCCGAGGCCAGACATCGCGAATCATCGAGAGACACCTCTCTTGTGTCAACAAGTTAGGAATCAAAAGTTCTAATCTGACAAAATAAGTGCAAAGGTCGTCACGGACAGTTTGTTGCAGAAGTGATTAAGAAGTCTAGGTCATTGGGAGAAAGTCCAGCTATATTGGCCACAAATCACTGTGAATCACTGTGCTCTTAATTGAAATATGGAAACATTTTGCATAGAAGATTATGAAGGATTATGTTCTGCTTTTCCAGGAATCTTCCCGGATGGGCTACAAAGCCCCACAGGACCACGTAACTGTCGGCTGACGTCCTCAAATCTGTTTACGACCCAGGAGGTGGGGTGGAGTCAAACAGATAGTCAGCAAGAGCACGCAGGTTCTGTCCAGGGGGGATGGGGGTCCCCAGCCAAGTAGCTGACAAGTAGCTGCCTTCGATTTCAGCAATTTTCCTATTAAGATAAACTAATTCTGCCGGCATGTGGGAGCACCGACTCCTGGGGCCCATCTGCAGACAGACGTCATATTTCCAATCTCCATCTCCATTCACTCAATGTTATTTAGTAGCTAAATCGATTGCCAACGCAGGCTAAGCAGAAAAAGCAGTGGCCATGCTGTGCTGTTGTTTATGCCATAATCAAGTCAGGCCGAAATTGATGCCGAAACTCAAAGATACATTTGAGTCCCCCCCCCCCCCGCCGTGACCCCATCACTGGTTACCATCACAGCTGTGTCCGTCTGCCGACACCGCATAGCCATCTGCGCAGCCCTCACAGGAGTACGAGCCCTCTATGTTGACACAGATGCCCGCAGGGCACGTCCCAGGGACCTGGCACTCGTCGACATCTGTAGGGGGTCATGGAGGAGCAGTGTCAGCAGTGGGGGAAGGAGTTTGGGGGAGAGGGGGGCAGGCATTGGACACTCGCGCATCAAAACAGCCTCATGGTGGTAGAAGGAGACCCACTCTTTAGCAGTCCACCCCAGACCTAGGGGAGCACTGACCTTCACACACCGTCCGGTCTGCAGACACCGTGTACCCCGAGGGGCAGGAGATGCAGGAGTACCAGCCCTCGGAGTTCAAGCAGATCCCATTCGGGCAGACGTCCGTGAGGCACTCGTCAATGTCTGTGGCAAAGCGGGAATGTTCAGGCACGTCCGTCAAGATGCATGTCCAAGTCGAGCTCTTGGATTCTTCTCAACCTAAACCTCAGGCACTTGACCCCCACGCTTCTAGTATTTGCAGTAGTAGCTCATGGTGACTGATCTGCTCAACCCCAACCATAAGCCCCACGTGCCACATCTAAGCCCAAAAGCCATGAATGGCTCACTATAAGTGAGGTCTACAAAGATGATCGCCTCAAAGGTGAAGCCGATGTTTTGTTGGCCCACTGTACCTTCGCACACGAGACCATCCGCTGAGGGCGTGAAGCCTGGTCCACAGTGGGTGCACTGGTAGGAGCCTTGCGTGTTTTTGCATATGCCAGCAGGACACACGCTCCGTGTCGCACACTCATCAATGTCTGTGGGGGGGGGGGGGGGGGGTGTGACGCAACAGGAAGTCAGGCAAGGGCCCGACACAGCAGATGCATTTCGTGACGATCGTGCCACTGTCTTACCTTGGCATGCTTTGCCATCAGGGCTGGGCTGGTACCCCAGGTCACAGCTGCACCTGTAGGAGCCCTCCAGGTTGATGCAACTGCCCTGGGGGCAGATTTCTGGGAGCAGGCATTCGTCCTTGTCTGGAGGGGGCGGCAGCGACAGACAGGGGGAGTGAGGGAGGAAGTACAAAACAAGAAACACTTAGTAAAGATTATTCTCCCTCCAACCTCAATGTGAAAAATAATTCCCCATTTCCTTCGCAAATATACTGAGACTGGAGTTTAAAATAAGTTTCCTAAATCAATAAGCAAGAGCTTGATGGAGGAATTCTGCCAGTACAGACAGGGATCTTCAACGCTATGACGGATACGCCGCTTCAGCTCTCGGTCACTCCCGCGACTCCCCGCGCCATCGCTACCTCGGCAGCTCTTGCTTTCCAGGCCGGCCACGAAGCCCACATTGCAGATGCATTCATATGAGCCATCCTTGTTGACACACCTCCCATGGACACACACGCCTGGGCTCAGGCATTCGTTGATATCTGGAGGGGGGATGACAGACACTGCATTTCAGGACAGTGACAAAAGGGAGAGACTGATAGCAGATTGTATTGCAGGAGACTAGCGGGTGACAGATAGCAAGTCCATCCAAGTGACCCACAGTGAGGGCGGACACAGGGGACGCCGCAAGGAGATCTCCGCCCTGGAGAGCGGCGCCGCAGCGATCCCCGGGGCTGAAACAGGACACACACAGCCCCCCCCCCCCAAGCATTTATTCTTTTCCCCACATCATACTCTGAGCCAGAAATCATTTTAAAAAAGATGTGAAAATAATTGTGTTTGTACTGAACACTCAAGAAAGAAAAACAAGATTTTCCCCGAAATGCAGCGAGGAGGACGGGTGGGCAGAGGCCGTGTTTTATGGCGCGCGGCACCCGCCAGGCAGGTATAGCTAACGCGATTAAGGAGCGGCACAGCCGTGACAGCCTGGAGGACGGGCGCCAAGGCGGACCGCATCCCCCACCCTGCTGCCGTGCGCTGGGAGGCCAGTGGAAAGCTAGGCGGTGCAAGTATCTGGGGGGGGGGGGGGCTGAACAGGCACGTCTGACAGAAGGCCGCATGGGGATGGGCTTGCGGGGGCCCTGGGCAGCTGGCACCTGGACGCGGCGTGAGCGCAGTCCCCGCACGCTGTTCAGGATGTGCCTTATCCAGCTGGCAGCAGGCTGGGCATCACTTACCACACCACAGGCAGACTGGCGACTGGGATGCTGGCTACACTGCCGCAGATACAAGCCACCCCCCCCCCCCCCCCTCATTCCTGACATCCTTCCAGCTGGGAGGAGTCTGATGGAGAGACATGTCGTTCACAAGCCATCGGTTCATGGAGACCCGCTGGCCTCAGTTCTGTGATTGAGACTATACCTAACCGCTCGGGTTCATCGCCCCCACCCAAGTCCATTACCCCCCCATCTCAGGTTCATTGCCCTCCTTCGTTTTAGTTCATCACCACCACCACCCCAACTCCCCCGTTTGGGTCCATCATCCCTCTCGCTTTAGTCCATGCGCCCCATCCTGATTGGATCCATTGCCCCCTCCCACTCTCCTGCTCAGGTCCAGCACTTCCCAGTCCCACTTGAATCCATTATCCCCCTCCAGCTCTG